GGCAGAAACCAATCTTTGGAGAAATATATGTTTAGCAAATATTTGTTTAATAACTGGAAGAAATATTGTCCTAAGCTGAAGGTGAAATAAAGTATATTTTGGATAAGTGGATGATCAGCCAACATCTGGAGAAATGAAAGTTTAGAGCTAAAAAATGTGATGTTACTGTTTGGCATTTTACAAGGGGAGTTTGGTAATACATGTAAGAAGTCAAAACCTGGTTTCATGGGCATCTGCTTATAAATGTAATCCTTTCCTCTCTCAATTTTCTATCAAGTTTGCAGATATTGACCTTTTCAACAGTGATCACTGTATTTGCTCTCATAGATCCTTGTGACCTGTGACCATGCTTATCTAAGCATGTTTCTTTTCCCATGCAATCTCAACTAATTTCAACAACTGCCTATAATTACATTTATTGCATATATGATTCAGCCGTTTAAGTCTTGCAATGCTCTGTGTCTTACTAATTAGTTATCTATCCATCTACTTATATGTACTTGGCCAACTATTATTTCTTTTCGTTCTCTCTCTCTCTATCTGCTGCCTTCCTTTCACATTTCATCTCTGTCTCATTCTGTTGTTTCATGCCTTTAAATCCTTGAACATTACACTGTATACAAGGCTAACTATGAAGAATACATATGAGATCCTCATGTTGGACTGCTCATGTTGCATGCCTATTTAAAATGTATATAATATAGTATAGAACTTTGATTGTAACATTCACATTTAATGATTGGCAGAATACCTAACCATGCAGTGTTTTAATAAGGTTAGTATTTTATATAAATTCATGAGGTAAATTCTCTTCTTTAACTCCACCCATCATCATTCTATTCTAATGTGTTCCGACCCTACTATTCACAAATGTGTAATCAAAATACTGTCTAGTGAATACACATTTACTGAGCTGTAATCCAGAGAAAATGAATAGAGAATCAAAATGATAATACCACATTGCTATTAAATGCCCATAATTTTAGCAATAATACCACATAGCTTTTACATATCCTTATTCTAATGTAAATTTAGAACTTTCTGAAATTATTGTATTATTTCAATTAGTGCTTTGTCAAGTTTTGCCATAAATGATATCATGACATAACTTGTGCACATTTAAAAAACAGTACACTTTACCAGTGTTTCATGTACATAAATCTTTGTAAGGAAGGCCTTAATTGGCTTTGATATTCAGTCAATCATAACCTTTTGTAGCATAGAAATAAAGTACAGCTAACATGTATAATCGGTTCAGCCAACAACTTGACTATGCAATAAGAATGTAAATGAATGAAGAAAAAACTTGTAATTGATATTATGTCTTTATTTGTTGTTGTTGTTGTTGTTGGGCTTAACGCCATTTTTCAGCACATGATAGGCTATTCATGGCGGCCAGTATTAATAGTGGAGGAAGAAACTGGGAAATCAGTGGAAAGAACCACCGACCCACGAGAAGCTACTGGCAAGCTTTCTCACATATCCACATTCGCTGAATCCTAGACTCAAACACACACAGACAGAGGTGAGATGACAGTGATCTGTAACGGACAGCGCTTTAGACCACTCGGGGCCCCTGTCTTTATTTGAATTTTTCACAAAATGTAAGAGGCACAAATTGGATGATAGTACTTAGATCAGATAGAGTAATAGGATACATATTATCTGACAAGTATGCAATCCATTTTATTTTTAAATCTGACATCACAAAAAAGAAGTGTCTGAAGCTTTAAATATAACAACAATCACAAACATAATGATTTGTTTGTTTCAAGTTCTAATGTACATATTCATAATTATGTAAAACTTTGTTTCTATATGATGATATTTTGTAACATATTTAAATCTTAAAACTGTTTTAACACGATATATTCCATTCATTAACAACATCAAAAATTCCATTTTAAAGACTGCCTGAGGTTCAACTTTGGTGATTTGAATGAAAGTGGTTAAATATATAAATTTGTACACACTTTAAAAGACATGTCTTCTATTATAATTAAAAATAATTTGTGATCTAGTGACTATACAGAAATGCTGTTTAACCCATTAATAACCATTCCTATAATACTTTAGGAGAACTATTACTACCAGTCAAATCAAGTGTTCCCAGAGTAAATGATTAGCTACAAGGATAGAGTATGAGGCAGGTCTTACTTGAGAAATCAACCAATGAATCTCTTGAGAGTGGTTTAATTATTCATACCAGTACATATATTTTAATATATATTGCAACTGCTTCCTTATTTGTTCATGTTCCTTTTCCATAACTGATATCTGGTTGTTCACTATCTCGAGTTCAAACTTGGTGATCAAATAAATATCATTGATTTTATGACTATCTTTCATATTTAATATTGTCTCTAAACTATCAACAAACAGAAATTTAAAATTTCCATTCTCAATTTTCCTAATGGCCTTTTTGCAGTATATATTGACCCTCCAATAGTCCTATGTAGATTGCACCAGCATAGTACTCCACCAGATTTTGGAGAGATTACCTACAAAGAAAATCACAACTGACAAAGTGTTTACCTCTTTCTTGTTCGGAAAAGAAATGATTTGCTAACAAATTAACCTTTTGTACATTATAATGGCTTGTGAATTAATGTCACTTTAAAGATACAACTGTTTTCATAAAAAAGTCTACTGACTTTAATGTCCAAATTTCTTAAATATGTTGTTGGTACCTGAAATGGATGGTATTGTGCTGTTGATAGTGAAGGAGTCAATAACAAGTATATGATCACATGATACCATCAGTATTATTCATATCCTTAGTACTAAGTAATCTTTTATTATTGGTATTGGGTATTGATAAACTGTATTCAACATAAAACTAGTGACAGAAGAAAAACTGTCTTATTTTCATTTGCAATTTAATAAGTACGCTAGCTTAAGAAAACAACTTAAGTCAGTCACTTCTAAATCATATTGGCTCCACCAGAAAACCCAAAGCATTCAAATCTCTTATCTTGCATTTTAGCATGTATCCATTTTTGCTGCTCAGTAATGCTTTCTGTCTAATAATCAACTGAATAGAGTATTTCCTGACAAAACCCATATAAAACCTATGTATTTACAATAAACAAATCAATACTTAATCAGAAATATTTCCATTTTGTAATACACTGCATAATTATGAACTATGAAATATTTAATATTTTATAATAAGATTTCAAATAACCATTTGAAATTTGTGTCATGTAATGCAATCATGATTATAGTAATTGCTGCTGATGGTGTTGTTTCTAAGTAATTATATTAATAAACTTCAAAAATCTTTATATTCATATTGTACTGAAAATGTTGACATACGTATGTCTACTGCAATGGAACTATTGACAATCTAAGCTACTTACATGTTTTGGTTACAGTTTTTTATCTTTAGGTTTTTTGCATGTATTATGATCTGCCTCATTCTTCCTTTTCACTGTAATTCTCTACAATAATTTATATATTTATAGCAATAAGAATAATATATAAATTAAAAAAGTGAATCACATTCTTTAGCATGCCAGATATTTCTGTCATATTATTGAACTATATAATGCCCCCTTAATTCACCTTAAAAGCACTACAAGATAATAAATTTACATTTCTTCATTTGCATTATTCAATTATTTGTTCATTTAAATGAAGTTTAATACATAGTGATAGGTCAATGACATTTATCGTTTCCTTTTGCATATATTTTGGTCTCATTATCCCATTTTGCCATGTCATCTGATGGTAAACATTGTTTGCTGCCCACCTTATCTTGTCTATTGCAAACAAATAAGTTATTTACTGAATCAATTGATCAATATTTTATGTAGAATGTCAGACAATAATACCAACTAAAAATGTAACAATATGTTTAAACAAATATGAATGAAGCTAAGGTCATTCAATTTACTAATACATAACAAATGTATTTTAAAACACATAGAATAGAATCTCACCCGAACTGTCATATCCACCACAGGAAAAGGCAAATTTTTAATCTCCTCTTCTGAAAAATACTCATGAATTCTTGGACTTTGAAGTGAATACAAAATCAAATTAGCTCTGTTACCATATATGCCTATCTATACAGTTTATTCAAGTATTTTCTTAATTTACTCTCAATAATTACTTTATTACAAAATGAAATGAACACTTGAATGTCAACACTGGTTAAAATCTAGTACTGTGCTAACTTCCTGTTCATATTGTGTACCTGTTACATCTATTGCATCTCATTTTGAAATAGTTCAGTTGCATAGGGTTATAATGGCTCATCCAGCAATGATCTTTATTGTGTGACATGTATCAAGGCTGTATATACTTTGACATCTGTGCAGCCATACTCTGGACAAATAAACCATGTCCAACACTGATATACATGTGAAAATATCATAACAAAGAAAGCATGAGCTTGAATGACACAAGCTGTGTTTTGTTAGTTAACACTTTCAAATATTAGAGAAATAAAATTTTATTTGAGAAACATTATATATCATTGTTTCTCCTCACCACAATATTTAACTCAGTGTTATGTCATAGAGTCATAGACTATAACAAACTACAAAAAGCTAAAGCTAGTTAAAAAAAATGAGTTATATCCTCATCTAGCCCCAAGGAAAGTGTCAATAATGATAAAGTAATATGGCCATCCAGACATGTAAAAGTAAAGATGGTTAATATTTATTATTTTACTGAAAACTATGTAGAACAAATGTGAGGCTACTTAGTTTTTAACATAACTGTTAGATGGAAATTTCTATTTGTGTGTGTGAGTGTGCGATTTGGATTTTTTAATGTAGCTTTAACTATTTTTCAGTTATATGGCTACAATGTCTGCAGTGTGGCAGTTTATAGTGATGTCTAGTACTGGGGCATCATGCCACAGACATGAAGCATCATGTCCCACCAAGTCACATTATCCTGAGAACAGGCCAATCAGTCACAACACTAACCTCTTAATGCTGAGTGCCAATCGAGGCAGCTGTTATTGCCATTTTTGTAAGTCTTTGGTATGATTCAGCAGGGTATTGAATCCACAACCTCCCACATCTAAGGCAGTTGCTCTAACCACTAGGCCACTGGAACAGTCAATTCTATTTGATCAGTAATATAAATCTGCCATTTGAATTCTAAACTTATACGTACACTATCTGAAAACATCTTTTTTAAAATCACCCTTTGTCTCTTTGAATCTCTTTTATACCTATATTTCATGTGATAAGATCATGAAATTGATTAAAATCTTGAATATCAACAAAATGGCAAAGTCCAATTAAAATGGACATGTGTAATATTAAGTCAAATTTAAGACCAAAGACTTATTTAACCTGTGCATAAATTTTGTCTTTTTATTATTGTGAAAATGCTTCTTTAGCAGATCTGAATTGATAATTTCTTGTGAAGTGTTAAAATTATATTTGAGATGAGAAATCTGAATACATTTTATTTGATAGAAGTGAATGACAGATCAAAAGTTCTTGACAAACACATAATGTGAGCAACTGGGAATCAGTCATAGGATATTTAAATTTTGTTGAATTTAATTAGTTTTTATTAGTTTTTCTTTTAAAGTATCAAAAATAATTGAAGAATGTAAACTTCAAAGGTGATCAAGTTCAAACAATATCTGGATGACTATAATATAGCTGTCACCAAGTAAGATTGTTATAACCTAATTATTTTTGGGAGATGTACCTAGTCCGAGTCAGAGTTTAGGATATGTGGATATGTGAGAAAGCTTGCCAGTAGCTTCTGGTGGGTCGGTGGTTCTTTCCGGTAATTTCTTGGTTTCTTCCTCCACCATTAATACTGTTTGCCATGAATAGCCTATCGTGGGCTGAAAAATGTCATTAAGCCCAACAACAACAACCAACTAATATTGATTGGTATAACCTAATTATTTTTGGGAAATGTACCTAGTCACATTCAGCAAGTTAATGGCAGGTTGATTATCTAGTGTGCAGTGGTGCAATCAATTTCACAGATTGGCTTCTCAGTCAAGACATTTTCTCCTTACAGGTCATGAATGAATTTGCATGCTGAATTTTTCTGGCTCACAAATTTGCATATTAATGTAAAAATGTATGATATATGAGATTTAGTCAAAATTAAATATTTCTTGAAAATGTTTTCAGCAGAGGTTAGAACTTCTGTATATGTAATTTGTTAATAAATCACATAATATAATCCTGTCATTATTGCATGTGAAGATACACATTGCCATTTTGAAATTTCTGCCATGGTTAAATTTAATACCAATTCCTGCTAATCTGCATTATTAACGGCTATGCAATCCATAGAAAACTTATTTTGTTCTACAAAATTTATTAACTTCATGCAATATTTTGCCATCTCCCTAACTAGAATCTGGAAGAAAACAGCTGTTGGTAAGATTGTCTGATAATATATAGAAATATACTTACATTTCACTTTTACAAAGGCATCAATTTATATGACATCAAGATTTATGCAAATCTTTTCCTTGTCCACAGAAAGTCAAATACCATGTGCTAAAGGAGAGCAGATTCTTTGTGTAGTTATAATAGCTATCAGACCCTACAAAAATGATATATTTTAATATGTCGATTAATAACAGCCTTAAGAATGTTCCCTTGTCTTTACAGCACAATTATTATTATTATTATTATTATTATTATTATTATTATTATTATTATTATTATTATTATTATTATTATTATTATTATTGTCAGGAAGAAGAAGAAATGAAAAAAAAAATACTTAATACACAACTCTGTCAGTTCTGTGGAAGAAACCTTCTAATTTTATTAACATATTATAGCTCTTTTATCAATTAGAAACCATTTTATGGAGAGAGAGAGAGAGAGAGAGAGAGAGAGAGAGAGAGAGAGAGAGAGAGAGAGAGAGAGAGAGAGAGAGAGAGAGAGAGAGAGACAAGGAAAAAAGAAAGTGGATGAGGGAGAATAAAAGAAAGATGAAGGAAGGAAGAGAGAAAGAGAGGAAGACAAAGAGCAGAGACAAATAGAGAAAGAAAGATAGAGAATGAAGGAGAAAAAGGAAGAGAGGCAAAGAAAGAGGGGAAGAGAAAGAGAGAGAAAATGAGAGAAGAGAGTGAAAGATAGAGTGATGAAATAACTTTGCAAAAATAAAACCTTGGGGACAATCACATTTCTTCCAAGTGAGAACTAGCAATAGTTACATGTTCTCATTTAATATTCTAATTATATATAAAAGACCAAACAAAGTAACAAAAACATATAAACTCACTTGATGACAAAAGACCATTAATATTTTTTGTTGTTAATATGATAGGTTCTAATATTAAAATTTAATTTAATATGGCTGGTTTTAAAATCAAATATTCATTTGCAGTTCTTATTAAATTCTTAAAATAATTTAGTATCTATTTTTTAAAATGTTCATTTTTCATTTTTTTCATGTATAAAACATAAAGTTGGAAGAAGGAAGAAATTGGCTTGCCAGTTGTTTTGGAGGGGGAGAAAGAATCACTTAGTCAATTCTTTCCTCAGAAGAAACACTTTCAGATGATGGCTAAAAATCAAATGGCCAATTCTTTCCCCAGGAAATCTTTTGGGGTGGGGTGGAGTGGGGTGGGGTGGGGTTGGGTGGGGTGGGGTGGGGTAAAATTGACTTACATCTGATTATTATGACTCTTATGTAAGACTAGTGTATAGTCAATACTAGCTTGTCATCCAATATAAATGAACTCATGTACAATTTTAGACCTCTAGCAATAAACAAGTGGATGCCTACTTGTCAGTTATACAACCCTTAATCAAAATAAAATGTGAACAGCAGTGATTGACAACAGCTCTTTTTCTCCAACAGCCATTATAAAAATGAATTATCATGCAGAAATAAATTCAGTAATCCATCATTGTAAGTGTACATGCTGTAAAAAACTTAAGTGGTCATATGAAATATAGGTTACAGTCACCATATTTATTGAAAAGGTTTTGAACTACCAGAGATGCATACATTCATTTTAATTGATGATTCTTGCATGACCAAAGCTTGAGAATGACAACCTTTAGATAATCAGTGAAGCATGATACAGAGGCAAACAAAATTATATGTATAACCTACATTACTTATATGTATAACCTACATTACTTATATGGATAACCAAAAGAAATGCATAGTAACTATATTTTTTCCTATTACACATCTCTTGGCTCCTTTACGATTCTTTTATTATCATAATGCAACATTTCACTGGGAGGAATGTCGACTTTTACAAATGTTGTTGAACTTGCTGTGCCACTTACAGGTGCTATTATATAATGAATACATATCAAACGTGCATTTTATGAGAGCATTTGCTCTGTGCTCCTACAGTTTTCCATATTATGCATCATTTGACCTCAGACACAGGTCATAAACGGCTAATTTGATTGATAATGGTGAAACCAATAAAAACTGAAAATACTCTGGACCAGATTAATCTGTAAGGTTTCATTTTATTGAGGGTATAAATATCTGAAAAATATACCTTACATATATATGTAGATAGCAAGCACATGTTCATTGACACTGGCATTTTTTAAAAAGTTATTTACAAAACACTTCATTGTAATGAATGCTGGTTGATAATGATTGTACATTATTGATAAATGAGAGCAAGATATGGAACAGAAACAGAAAACTACAGTTTTATGTTGTCTGATATTTAAACACATTAATTTTATTTATGAATCACTTGAGCAGTTGATAAAAATGTTCACTAGTACAATTATATTTAGGGTCCAAGGAAAATATGATAGTATGGTATAATGCAAACCACAAAGTTAAGGTGGCAAAATTGTCCGATCAAATATGATTATCCTATTTTTATAGCACCATTAGTGTCCTATTTGTATTATTAGTGCATTATGTACTGTTATTTTATTTTACCTTCCTAAATTGCTATGTGCAGCTAAATTTGGACAATGTGTTTGACAGTGTGTATGCCAGTGTCACTTACCCATGTGATCTTATGGGACACTGATTAGGTCCCCTTTGTGCAGTACTATATGGTATATTATATAAATTATAATATATAATTAGAACTATAATCTACCCTCCACACATCAACTGTGAAACATGTTACCAATTATAATTATATGTAGCTCATCCATCTTAACCTGAATTGGGATAAACATAAAATTCCCTGGTATGATTATGATGATGATTGGGTTAACAAATCTCATCTTACGCAATAGAGAACCAAATGCAGATGATTAAATAAAAGTTAAGTATTATTCATGTTTTAAAAACTAGAAACCTGACATACAGATAAATAGAAACAGCTGAATTAATGTTCGAATGTGAAAAATCTACAACTCTGAGACATATTGTTCACTTTAGATTAATGTCTTGACTTACAATTAAGACATTATTATCTGTCAGTCCTATGTGGTCTGATGTAATTAATACACATATTTATAGCAGTGAAGTTATTTATAAAATTATCAATATTTTATTTTAAATTAATACATCTTTTCTTGCTATTGTATTATCAACTAAATAATTACATGTACTAGAATTGATCATGTATATATTTATATCTGTATATGACTTATCTACCTGAAGTCAGTAGACATTGTTTTCTGTGTACTATACCCCATGCATAGCCAGCAGTAGGTCAGATAGACATCCCACTGACTATCTCAGTTTATTAAAAGTGTTCATTACTTCACAGGGAATAGTGGTTAACACTAATACATAGTAATATATTAGAATTCTAAATTCAATGCTACGAGAGAGAGAGAGAGAGAGAGAGAGAGAGAGAGAGAGAGAGAGAGAGAGAGAGAGAGAGAGAGAATATATTTGTTTTAACTATTTCCTACATGTACACTAATATACATATACATACCAACACACACACACACACACACACACACACACACACACACACACACACACACACACACACATATATATATATATATATATATATATATATATATATATATATATATATATATATATATATATATATATATATATATATATATATATATATATATGTCCATGTACACAGAAAAATATACAGTAATTCCATAAGAGTATTTTTGCAATTGTCATAATTGTTTGTTTGCCACAAA